GACAGAATAAACTGAGTTAACTTTTGTTTCTCTATTCCGTAGTCGTTCTGGGAAATTATTGGATGGAACCTTGAAATATGTAGATTCTGACTTCTTCTGCATCCTTCCAAAAAGTTCATAAAAATGACCCAATATTCGCGAAATTAAATAAACTAACATTTAATTAATCTATAATTAGTAGTGGTGCCGAAATTCAGTTTACCATGAAAACTTTTCCGGAAAATGTCTGCTGGGTTGTGGTTTCCTGTAGTTTAGAACATGTTTCCGACGTTTCATACACGCTTAATGACTCATCGTCCTGATGATGGAAGCAGCAAACACCTCTGAAACGTCGATAAACTACACAATACAGAAGACATTCTCTTTGCATTTGCCGCCGTGAGGACCTTAAATCTCACAAGCTACAAATATCTAATGAAACATTTTAAACACAGCAAAAATATTGCTTTACGTTATTCGAATAAATATATTCATTTTTTATATGACGTGACCGTATCTAACCGTGGGCCAGAGTTTGTTTTCCGGTTTATTATAGCGCAGTGTGTCATTTCGATACACAATTAATTATATTGCACAACTCACAGTGTTGTGTAAATACACAATGAAGGCGCTGTACGCAACCCGCGAGTAATTGGAGCCCCGGGCAACGCACATTAATAACACTGTTGTAACCATCCACGCTTTTACTGTAACTCTGTCTCTCTTTCAGATACATTCTTCAATTTTATCTTCAGGGTGTCTTCTCTCAAATGTTTATGTATTTAACGTTATCATCAATTTGTATGATTCGTGTTTTCTTTTGCAATATAAACCCTCTTTCATTGATTCCATATACCACATGTTGTTCCCAGATAATATAGGTTGTACCTTTTAAAATGTACTTCACAACATCAGAACAAAAATTAAACCAAAAGCAGCAACCTTACCGCCACCATCTCTGTAATAGACTCTCCCTGCCTCCCCGTAACACCTGAGTCAAGGTCATCCTGGCTGCTAGGCCGCTCTGGACAAGAGTTGTGGAGATGCAAATATGGCGTATCTATGTTGCCGGCAATGTATAGAATGCCTAAAGTCAGTAGGCGAAGTGTGAAATATATCGAAATGTTAATATTGTTTGGTTGTGTTAATTAAAATTAATCAAAGTCGATTGGGTGAGCTGTCAAGACGGAGGTTGTGCGAGATAGTCGCGAAAACCGAATATAACAAACGTTTTGAGAATTAAAAACGATTATTCTATATTCTAACCTAACCTAACAAAAGTTTTGAGAATTTAAAAAAAGTTTTATATTAAGTTTTTGCAAATATAGAAGATAAAATAAAACTGTATAAATCGTATTATAGAAACTTCTTTGCTATATACTTTGCCTAAAGAATACGAGGCATTTTATAAAATTCCTAGGTATTGTATATAAAATAAACTGTTAGTTGCGTACATTGCCTAAAGGTTATAGGTGTTTTATAAGATCCCTGGGCATTTCACAGAATTCCTGAATTTCATATTTTGTCAGTAACGTATGTACTAATGTATCTTATGGCAATAATCATAATTGAACTTACGATAAGAAACATATCTGTATAGGACCTGTAGGAAAAATTAATTATGTCGTGGACAATGAGCGGAAATATATTTCGTTAACTGAGTAAAGCTTGACAACGCATAATAGCCTTTTTTTCCATAAAAATGTATTTGGTATGCATTTTATGTCGTTGTTCTGTTCCTTAGCATAAAATGGTTACTCCTTTCATATTACCAGATTTCAAAATAATGTGACTGGGTACATAAAATATTTGCGAGGTCCACGGTAGGTTGTAGGATCTTGATCTGAAACGAAAGATCACACAAAGCGATTGGAAGTTTATTGATCTTGTATTCATGTCTCGATGTGGATATAAAATCCCTTCACTCTTGACTCTGTTTAATTTAAGGTTATTTGACAAAATCCTATCTCCAGGAGAAAGTAGCTCCATAAATTTCTAGACAGGTATATTTGCAGATATTTTTCGAGAATACTCGTCTTGTGTTCAGCAAAAAAGTTTGGAGTCGCCTGCGAAAAGGGAGAAATGTGACAGAAACTTACGATTTTGTTTACCACCGCTGCTGCAACCCCCCACCCCCCACAACCACCCCCCAGACACACACACACAGGCTTTAACCTAGTTTCCTTACTCCGAAAATAAATCTGACAACATTGTGTACTTAGATAAAAAATAAAATGTATATCGCCCTTTACAGATATAAGGACACTCTGTTTTTGGCAACTTTTTTTAAACATTTTTCGGACAGTTCTCGTCTCACAGCGGGAATTAATTTTGTTCACCTAAAGCTGTTAGAACAAAAGAATTTTATACTTATAATTCCTTATGCCTATTTAATTTCACTCCATAATTTTAACATGTTAGTAGATAACAAACATATCTACAAATGTAAATAAAGATAGGCATTTTTCGTATGCCTTAGGTCAGTGGTATTGAACCTTTTTTTGTTCGCGTACCCCCCAGATATAATTTCTCTTCAAATTTGTACCCCCAAAGTTGTTGGTGTATAATTCGAGTTATACATAGTATATAATCTACATCTAAAATAAATTAAATAAATTACATTACTGATTATTCAGTGTTTATCATGAAACAATATTTTTTTTAAATTTCAAGTACCCCCTAAGATGTCTTCGCGTACCCCAGGTTGAATACCACTGCCTTAGGTAATTCCAGCTTACTGAGAGAATTTTAATATTTCAAAATTGGGATTTTTCATACCAGCGAGGATGATGGTATTCTTCTCTGTTATGGCGCCGTGTGGTCTTTTACGTAAATGCCAACGTTTCGGAGGTATATTCTGTTTACATCTTCAGGGATTAAATTTGGAATTTAGAACTTTTCTTACTGGCCTTCGTGTTTAGGCATTATTCTCAAAGTAAACGTTTTTACTATTGAAATGTACAATCTGAGAATGTGAAAACCAATAAAGGGATTTTTTTATAAGATTTGTCATGTCGAAAGTGAACAGATTAAAGTTTTAACTTTTGAGTCAAGCGGATTTTTAGGTGATCGAGATTTCGTGCGTGTGTCGTATTCCTCGCTTATTAAAACATACTCTCAGGTACATAATTTAATTTAGGTTGTCTTAACAGTGCATCGTAAAGTATTTTTAGTTATTTGAGTCTCTGATGGTTTCCGTCTGCCAAACGCGACTGCGTAGCATTTTTTTAAACTCTAAAACATCTGTAATCGAAACTTTTTTAAAATGGTGTTTCCCCTTGATAGGAGGATGAATAGGGAAAAAGAATGAAGCTTGTTTAAACGTAAAGAATAATTGCGTGTTCCGAGGCGAAATGAGACTGGATGTTGGAATATAAGGAAATAAAAAAGTACGAACTTCAAACGAAGGCTTCGTGTTTGTTCCGAACGATACATCTCATGTTCATTTGGAGGAAATGGTAATCATCTTTAAAGCCTAAAACAATAGTTTCTGTGGTGAATTCGATCAGTGTTTCAAGGCGTTTACATCTGTAGATATTTCTAAGTATATTTTAAAATTTCTCAGCGAAATTATTTCTTCTCTGCACTTAAATAAAGAAATCGAATTTATTTTTTACTAAAATCACGCCTAAACTGCTACTCAGCTCATTGCATTAGTGGTACATAGTACCCAGTAGCTTCTCAAGCTACGTTGTGCGATTATCAACAATTTATATTAATCACTATACGATTTAGTGATCGTTCGATTTTTGTTCGTAACTTCCAAGCAGAATTTCAACCGGTCCATGAAATTTTCCAGTCTTTCATGAATATTATTAAATAAAGTGTCACGATGTTAGTCCCCCAACAGTGGCGCTAGTGTCGTTTAGGTGTCACATGCCAGTTACGTCGGGAATTTTTGTGTTCGAAAGTTGGAAAGTCCGAATGTGGGGGCGTAATTTTCATACGAAGTGTTATTAAAATCTATCATTTGTTTTAAATTATATCAGGGGAGCCGAGATGTGGACACAGTTACAATCCTGCCGAAATTCTGACAGGTAAAGTAGGGAACAAAAGTCTATTATTTCTTTGGATTTTGGGTTGTCATGGCAGTGAAGATGTGCAAGTTCATCTTTACCCCCTGAAGATGGAGGCTGTGCACTCCTCCGAAACGTTGGTATCTATCCAAAAATCCCTACGGTGTTCGTGTTTTATTTAACGTGGACATTTTTAAACATTAATTACTTGAGTTTTAGTTTCAAAAGGAAAGGAATTCGGCATGATGTATCACAAAATTACGACTTTGGGCCTATAATATTCTTGTGCGTAAATCTGCTCAAAATCTTGCTAATTCTGACCGCATTTTTTAAATCTTCTTATGTTTTCCTTGGTGCATCCGCAGAGAGAAATTCTGTTATAGGCTGTTGTCTTCAACATCTTTCGGCCTAATGGTAACTATATATACCACTTGCTTAAAAAGTGTATACTTATACATATTTTTCTCACATCGTGTATTTGCAGGGCATTATATCTAACTATTTGGTCTTTGCATTGGAGAAATGTTGTGTTTCCTTTTTGGTAGGAACTGAATATTTAAATGTTATTTAGGTTATCTTTGGTTTCCAGAGGGTGCAGGGATCTCTCGGTAAGGTCCTTTAAATTTCAAAATAATTCAATTCATTTATTATTGTGCAATTACAGCCAGGCACAAAAACAGCATTCAATAACTATGGTACATTACATAGATGAGATACAAAATAAAATATTAATACTAAATGAAAACAAATAAATAATAAGAAACGAGAAAAAACTTAAAAAATTAAATACCACAAAATATGGACAAAATGAAATATTTTAAATAATTCAATTCAATTCTTTTTATTAAAGTTTTGCATAAACGTAATAATAATCTTGTCATTTGATGACATTTAGGACATGTAGCTGATAAAGTGTTATTAAGTGAACAAACAAAAGAAAGTACTGTGAAGTTGGTTTTATTACGACTACAGGATCAGGGCATTAATTCTTAATTTCCCTTTCAGGTGGCGTGGATGCACTTCGAGCAGTCTGCAATATTAACTGTACACAACCACGTGATCACACGAAATCCTCGCATCTCTGTGACACATGACAAACATCGAACTTGGTTCCTCCATATCAGTAATGTCCAAGAGGAGGATAAAGGCCGGTACATGTGTCAGATCAACACGGTGACCGCGAAGACGCAGTTCGGGTACCTACACGTAGTGGGTAAGTTCATTTCCAGGCTCTACACAAGATCTGACAAATAACCCAATCGATTATGTAAAATATACAAATTTTATAGTCAATTTGCCTCGATGACCGCGGTCATATCGAAACTGATTGTGTTTCTAATTTCTTACGCGTCACTGGTTTTGCCAGGAAACATCGCTGGAAATAATTTTCTGAAATTGTTTTTGGTATCTTAGTTACAATTTAATGAATGAATATTTCGATAAAGAACATTATTTAATATTTTAAATATTTTAAATGTTAATTATTGTAATATTTTAATATTTAATAAGAATTTATTGTGATTAGACGGACAAGATTTAAACAATATATATGAATATCTTTAGATGATTCAAAATCAGACGCTTCAAAGGAAAATTCAGAAACGTAGAACGTCATTCAAGTAAGAAATAAACTGAACGCATGGTTGGTGTTCCAAAACTGCTACTTTAAATTTTGGCAACAAATCCCCTTACCAAAACGTAGATGGAAAAGGGAATTATCATGATGAAAAATCCCCTTGTCCAGCCAAAGATTTGAGATTTGTTTACGGGTTGGCTACAGTAAACGTCCCAGTACGATAAATCGGCCTAGTGACTGTTTTAGAGAAAGGGATTCGTATTTTTTGTTAATATCTTTGATATTATAAAAGCAGATTATCATTTTACTCTCTGTATTTTGACATCCACACTTTAATTGGTCTGGGATTCTGTGGAATTTTTTCGTTGGAGATTTTATCCGTTTCTTCTAATTTCTGAATACTTAATTCTCGTTATATGTTTATATTTTTCTCCAAAATGTCGGATTCTTTAAAGAGAATTCTCGAGAGCCCTGAGCAAAATTGTTCTTATTTCATGGCAATAAAACATTTTTCTTATCAGTCGCCAAAAACGCTTGAGTGTTTGAAGTTTGATGAAGACTTTCTGCCTCTTTGGAAAATAGAGACGATACATTTTTGGTGGGATATATGCCACGCGTAGCAGAGTCGAAACAGGTGTAAGATTCCTTTCATAAACACATGTTCATCGTTCCACACTTTTATCAGTACAGACCTTACAGAATTTGGAATAAAATAGAGATTTGTAGGGCGAGAACGGGGTGATCTGAGTAGGCAGAGGGGGGGATGCGAATCTTATGCATTTTACATGTCAACCCACGCGAATACAGTGACGTCACCCGCCAACACAACGCGTCACAAATTCCTCCATTACTTTAGCACTAAATGGTCGTAACATTTCAAAGTTCTGCTGTGATGCTTGAAAATGTATGCAAATGGATTTTGTTCATACAGCAACAGCAGTTCCCTCTAACGGCAGGAATTTATAGAAACTTGACGATGTGTATTGCAGTGGTTAAACTTTAAATCATCCACTTATCTCGAAATTTTGTATATTATCCTTGGATTTTATTTACGATTTCTGTGACATGTTAAAATTTGAGATCAGACTTCTAACTAACTAACTAACTAACTCCATGCTCAGACTCCTTGAAAAGCTAATAGTAGCTCAGATTGTCAGAATCACAGAGTTTATTACGAGTTTACAAGAGGTAGTCCCTTGTATCCGTTTTAATATTATACCCCTTCTATTCAGCTATGCCTTTAAACTGGACTCTTACTTTCATGTATTCTATATTCCCCACCCTGACTCTTTCTGGTACACAAACAATTTATGAATCTCCTTCTTTTAATTCTTCGCTTTAATCATTGTAATCATCGTATTTAAATGAGACTGTAAGTTTAAAATGTAAGAGATGAAAAAAAAATTTACTTTCAAAACGCATGAAGCAAATCATTAATTCAAGCCGTTCCTGATTTATAGATCAATTTTCCAGACGAAAACTGAGACCTCGAATTTAGCTGCCGGATTTTTCACACGTGAATTGACATTACCAAAGTTTCCGGTAGAGTACAGCACTCGTAGGCCGCTGTAACTACCATCTCACGCTTCTCTGGAACGGATGAGATTTCTCTCGGTTTCTCTCCCTACATTATATCTTTGCCTCTATCCATTTAGCTTTTAATTATTAAGTAAAGTGCGCCCAATTATCCGAAGGGGAAGAAAAATATCCAAGTTTAACCCCGCGCCACAACTGCACATCGACTCAGTAACATTACTTAGAACGCTTAAAACCAAAGGCAATCTCATCAGTTTGAAACTGAGGAGTTCTAGCTGAAATATTTGAGCTTGGTGATGGAGCCTGATTAAAAGGTTCTGAATTTTAGATGGATGTAGTCCTTTTGGTTAAGTTGAAAATATTAAGGATAGGAAAGTTTTACACATCGTCCTCGAAAATGTATCCCAGAGCCGAACTAAACTTTAAAGTTGTCTACTTTGGCAATAAAGGACAGGGTGGATGGAAGGAGGGTTGTATTCTTGGTTGGGGAGGTAAAACCACTTCTGTTATATATTATTAGACGTACAAATGATATATTCACATTTAATTTCTAAGAATAATTATTTATCTTCATTCTTTGCACCATGAACAACAATTAAAACAACAGCATTGTTATATATTTCAACGTTCTCGTCACCCATAATGAAATTACTTCTAAAAGCTGCCTGATTACAGCAGCACTTTTAAAATTTTAGATGTCGTCACTGAGAGACTGTGTGTAACATTTTGTAACAGTCGTAATGTTGACGATGACGAGTTGTTAGGTCTCTGTCCAACCCTGAACCTGGAGGACCTCACCTTTTCGGCTGTTCGTGACAGCTTATTTAACCCATCCGCTTGGAACTCTCCAAAAAATGAAGACCTTTCTTAGTTGTCAAAGCCATTGAGGCGAGTAAGATCATATTTGTATATTAGACCTAACTGTACTAGATACTGAAGTACATTTTTCCACTCTTGTATCATTTAAAGTCACATACTGAAGGAATTTTAGTGTTATTATTAATTATTAGTAAGTGGGGAATCACATTTAAACTTTTCTTCGTTTGTGAGATGGTAAAGTTGCGTCATATTGTGATATTGTAATATTTTAATATTTAATAAGAATTTATTGTGATTAGACGGACAAGATTTAAACAATATATATTTTCTTCGTTTATTTAAAAAAAGTTATCGACCCAGAGAAAGAAAGTTAATTGGTAATACAATTAATAAACTAAGGACTGGAATTTTTGGATATTGATTTTTATATTACACCCCGCGTCAGTAATTTTCAGACTCGATTCTGGACCGTGCCGAATTCTGTTTGCGGATACCTCCTGCAAGTAAATGTACAGAAACTGAAGTATCTAGGGCAGGGAGATGCATATCTATAAGGAGGGTCTTCGGGAGTCGTTAATGAAATCGGAACAGCTGTAGTATCTTTGAAATGTCATTGGTGATGGCGGAAGACAGGTTTAAAAAAAAACCATGAATACCGATTCTTAAATATAAAACGTTATATGTCTTATGTTTCTTACAGCTGTCCTAAGCCACTCCTCTCAATAAATAATTCAGGATTGAAGTTTGTAGCCCTGTAAGAAATCCCCGATAGGCAATGCTTAAAACGGTCCAACGAGCTACATGTTACTAGCGGGAGTTAATTTGGTCTGCTTTTATGCATTGTGGTAACGGAAAAGGAAATATTTATGAAGGGAATATACCCCTATTTTCATGGTTGTGTGAGGTTCCCCTAATGGCTCTGGCCACTACATTTACCCAGCAGGACTACAAAGCTAAAACTGTCAAAGTGTGTGACGAAAATGAGATGTTCTCTGTGTCGTCCATTAAGGTTATCAGACACGCGTCACTACGAGTAAGAAATTTAAAGGAATGGAAAGGTTTGAATTTCTTCACTCCAGGCTAGATGTTAGAAACATTTTTGAAAATCTAAGGGCTACTAAGAGAATACTATTTTTTTTTATCAAAGTACAAATACAATTTAACAGAGCGCTGTAGGTAAATTTAAGTGTACGTACGATGAACTAGTGGAGACACATTTTGAGGTAGTCGAAGGTTTGAAAGGTCACGTCATTGGTTCAGGTGAATATGACCAAAAACCTCCAGCGCAATTTAATTAATAACGTTTTAATATTATCCCTTGTCTTCCAAGTGCTGCCATGCTTTCAAGTTTTGTAAATGTGTCGTACTTCGTGACCAGCCGAGTGTATCTTTCTCGAAGAGATCATCGTAACATTAGGTGAGGATCGGAAAGGAAGTAGCTGCTAACCGTTAGAGTTTCTCAGCATCCCCTCCTGAACCACCTTCGATTTACATTGGAAAATAAAGTCTGACACCATATAAAATTAGGTGAATTTTTTTTTTTGAATATTTTCGATATTATCATCGTTTGATCAATTGAAAACTGTTATGGATTTTCCAAAACAGAATTCTCCCTTCGTCTTAGATGTCTTAATATTGTTACTGCATGTTTTTCGTATTTTAAAATGTTTTCTTGCAAACTCGTCAGAGCGCAAAATATAAATGTGGTTTTTTTTTTCGAGTCAATTTTAAAGGGTTCTGAAGATTTTAGTTACATTCGAGGTTACGAAGTCCTTGAACCTCATCCATCGTATGGTATTCAAAAGAACACGACGTTTCGGGAACTGAGTTGTTTTTGTCATCTTGTAATATAGGAAGAAGAACAGAAGATCTGTGTGATGGTTCCCCGATTGAGTAATCCTCAGACCTGGACAACACAAACATTGAATTATTCTGTATATTCACCGGTCATATGCGGAATGTATCACATAATTGACCACCAGACTCGAAAATAATAAATAAAAAACTAAGATTCACATCCCATGTCGTTAATCGTAGCAACCTCAAAGAATTTAAAAGTTGGAATGATAAAACCAATATAATATTGTTGTTGTTAGGTCTGAGGATATGAAATCAGAGGGCCTAACAGATACGTTTCCTGAAGATGGCAGTCTTCTAGGTTGTAACGCCATTTGGTATTGTAGACGTCGCAACAAACCACAGGACCATCTTCATACTCGTCGCCGTGATAACCTGAAATATCATATAGATTTTTTAGTCATCCCTTTTACGTGATGACGAAA